TTGCCGGCACGAATGGAGGTTGAAGGTGTGAGAAAGCTGGGCGCCTTGGATGTCAGTGTCTCCTGAACTCCGGAGACCCTGCAGGGCCCCAACCGGACTGTGTGCGCGCGTGCGCAGGGAGGAGACGTGGTTAAGCAGTTTGCTGCCTGCTCTTCGTGAGTCTGGGTAAATCAATGTCGCGGCAACTTCCAAAAGAAGAGAGATGCTTTCCAGATACGGACTTTAGGGGCCTTAGAGTGGGACGCAGGGGGAGCGAGAGAGGGAATGTTCAGTCACCTGAACAAAAGTAAACATTTTTTGATACTGTGGATCATCAGTAGTTATTAGATGTAGCTATACACAGGACTGAACGATCATTAACGCACGCGGTGACTTTTGCATACTTTACAATAAAAAAAAAATCACTCCTAGCACTTTGTGAGGGTGCTTGTATATCTGTGTGTGTGTATGTGTATTTTGTCACTTGCACTCCTCTCCCCTTTTCCTATAAAGATGATGAATCTAGGGCTACATGACCTTCCGGCAATGTAAACTGGTAGCTGTTCTGTGAAGTGAGTTAGGACAAAGGTGTAAGTCATCTTTTCCTATTGACTTTCCCTCTCCCCAGAAAAATCGTATTTGTTACTAATCTCACTTTTTATTGGTGACAGTGTGATCAGAACTTTAATTTGATTCATTTGCAATTGAAAAATTTCCCCCTAACTAATCCTTTATTTAAATCTTAACAGACCTTGGCTTAGCATTTTGGAAGTGATCTTTGGTGTGTAGGCAGTGCTCATTTAATATAAAAGTTGTCATTTTCCCAAATATCCTCTTATTAATGGATAATGCCATTACAAACAGTGGCAGGTTTCCTTGGTGAGGCTGTGAAAATTCATGGAATCACAGAAATACTGTACATTTGGGATGGAAACTAACCAACCACATTATTACCATATTCATTGTATCTAAGATGCCTTCAGTTGTAAAGTGGATCCTGATTTAAGGGATGCTAAAATGTGGGGAAAAATTGTTTTAAATTTAATAAAATACAGTATTAAAATGGTAAGTTATTTAACTTGAGCACTCATGCCGAAAGGATGAAATTGAAGAAAGGGCTTACTGGGCCCCCCTGACTTTTTTTCCCCAAAAACTATGAAGAGAGTTGGTGGGGGGGAGGAGGGGGTGGCATGGGATTAATATGGAGCCATCAGGAAGGCCTTACCCACAGTGTGACAAAGAGGAAGGGAAAGTAGTGTTTTCTGTTAGTATGGTTGTCCTCGCCTTTGAGGAGTGGACTGGCTTGAAGCCTTTTTCCTTTAACATTGAGTGTTTGTGGCATGCAAGATGGAACTCAGCACTTTATGTCTATTACTCAGACTTCACAGTAGTCCTGAGAGGTAGGTATTAAGGTGATTCCATTTTGCCAATGAGGCACAGATAAGTTAAGTTACACACCGAGGTCACAGAGTAAGCATTTACAGTCTAGCAAAGAAACAAATAAGTGGTTAAGCATTTTGGATTGATGTCCAATTCGAAACAAGCTTTGCATTCCATTGCAATGAAACTGAAATTTGTGGGCTAGAGTCCAGAGGAGTCCTGGGTCTTAGATATTTTGGATAACTTTGAGTAGCTGATGGGCTTGAGAACATACGAATATTCTTAGAGCCGATTAATTAAAACTAATAGACTCCCCTGCCCCACGTGTACTTGTTTTGTTTCACTTCTGGCTCTTTTATAAGGGGTTTAATGTGGATGCATTTCCGCATTACATGTGTGTACCTATGCAGAAAGTGAAAGTGGGCAGGGTGTCGCTGCTTGCCCAAGCCTAGTTCCAGCAAGCCTTGGGGTTGGGAGGCGTTTGGATTTGTTCTCAGCCATCCCAGTTGTCCTCTTTTGAGCTTCTTCAGGATCATGATCTGGATACCGAGTATGTAGTGTGGGCCAAGGCTCAGGCCAAAGAACTGAGGTCCTCCGTCCTTGTAGGTGGCTTTTCCTCAGATACAGCTGTTTATGAATACCTCCAAATCTCTTTTGGTTCATGGTCACTGAAAGAAAATGGTGGGATATATAGAGAGCCAAGCCCTATCTATCTATCTATCTATCTATCTATCTATCTATCTATCTATCTATCTATCTATCTATCTATCTATCTATCTATCTATCTTTCTATCTATCTATCTATCTATCTATCTATCTATCTATCTATCTATCTATCTATCTATCTATCTATCTGATCTCTAATGACCATTTTCCTTTTCATTTCTCTTGAATTGGATAGAAAATACCAAAAACATTTAAGCATGTCCTCTACCCTGATTGTCATGTGTATATTGCAAAGATAGATCATTTGTAAAATAAAAGAAATTTTTAAGTCTTCCCCCCACTGAGAGATGGAAGGAGAGGTGAGGTGGCATCATGTAATATGTTCTGTTGCTTAAGTTCCTCTACTGGCGGTCTTCCTGTGGTAGTGCACATCTGGGCAATTCACTGTCATATTCCTGTAATTTATAGTCATTTCAAATTCCTGATCAATCTCAGGGGAGTTAAGATGTATTCCTGACTGCTGCTCTTGTTTTATAAAAACAGAGAAGACTCTTATAAGTTTCATTTTTATGCTATTTCAAATGTTGGCTGTCCATGTATTAAAGGCAAGACTGTTTAGAAATTGTCAGGGGAAGGATTTTATTCACCTCCCCAGACTATGTGACACTTGCCTTTCTCCCCCTGTTCCTTTTCTCCTCTTCCTCTTCATTCTCCCTGGCTCTTTCTTTTTATTTTCTCCCCTTGCTTTTCCACATTCTTCTTGCTAATGCTACAGTTGTTATTAGCACCCAGCACTGTTAAGTAACCTCACGGGGGTGGCTGGATAAGCCAGGGTCTTCCTGCTTTGTTTCACTGAAGGCACTGCCGGAAATATACACCACACTTACTTTCTGATATTCTTGGAAAAGCCCACAAAATCCAGGACAGGGAAATCCAAAACAGCTCACCTGGGCATTTCCATGAAATACCAGACATTTGCAGTGCCCTACAAAAGGGCAATTAAATCCTCAGTTATACTTCTTGATGACCTTAGAATGAAATGAATGATGGGTCTGGAAAGTTCTATGCTGAGACCAGTTTCAAGGTTCAAGAGATTACTAACACAGTAATACCTGCTATAATGAAATCTTCTTTTCTAAGCATCAAGAAACCTGGAATCTACCTTGGCAGGGAGTCAGAAAGGATTTTTGGTGGCACATGGGAAATGGGTGGATAACCCTATGGCATGGGCAAAACTGATCATTTACTATAACAACTTTAAGTCGACAATGCCATATGGATCCAATTTATTTCAGAAACAACTAGGTACCAGTAACAACAGACTCAGTTCTACATGATGTGGATCTGCAGGCTTTGGCAAAGAAGAGAAAATCCCGAGTGTTAAATATTTACCTAGGAATCCTGCTTCTGCTTAAAAGCAACAGCTCTAGTCAGACTCCAGTTCAGTTTCTTCATCTGTAAAATGGGGATAGTAATAGTACCCACTTAATAAGATTTTTCCAGGGAGGAAATGAAATAATAACTGTGAAGTAGTCATTATAGTGCTTAGCATGTTATGTTAAATCAGCTGGTAGCTGTTGTTAAGTTTATTTAAAAACAAAGTTGCAGGGATTATGATTTGGGAAATTCGTCCAAAAAGTGAAAGTGAAAGCAGCTTCCTACACGAACTCCAGAGGGTCACTCCCTGCTCCTGGCCTGCCCTTTGGAGATCACAGGCAGTACAGGCGCGCCTGTGTCTGCGTCTCCTCACCCACACTGCACCCCCTGCCCTGGACAAGGGAGGTGGAGGGAGGAGGAGGGATGGCCACTGAGTGAGGCTGGGCTCTGTTTATAAATCAAGTCCGAGTGGAGGGGAGAAACTAAATTAGCTGATTGTGTTTCCTCCTGTGGGAGCCAAAAACTGCTCCTAAGAATAGTGAAGGTAGGTCACTTGTTCACCCATGGTATGTGAAATACGGCCTCACTGGGAAGCTGGGATCTTTCTAGGCTTATCCGTATGTCTGGAAGAATCACTTGACTTTGAAATTGGTTTTATTTAATTAAGATCACAGGGATTTAACTTCTATGGAACATTGCAATTTTCCCCTTGGTTTGGGGGAGAATAAATGTATGGGCTTGTGCTTTAGCTTAAGGTAATCTCTTTTAAAGACAACTATGAAAATAAACAAGAAATTAGGTGGAGTACACAGCAGTCTTGTACTAAAATGTTCTTCATTGATATTTTGGCCTGAGTAAAAGTTAGCCTGAAGTCCTCATCATCAGAATGTTCACTTGCTGTGTGCAGCATTTTCTCTTCCTGCTCCTCTTCTCCCTAAAGCCTTTTTAGCTGGACTCCTTGCTGTTTGCTTTGTTCTTTTAGTCTGTTGTTTTGTGAATTGACCAATACATTTCCAGTCTTGGGTGACAAGTACTTGTTTGACCCCAGGATATGGACAAAGCTTCTCCATCGATAAGGTCTGATTTACAGATGGCAGTCTGATGTTACAAAAATGTGTTCCATAAGAATTCTGCTATATGCTAGCAGTAATTAGTAGGAAATTTCTATAAGATGTGAAATAATTTCATCCCTATCTTCTGACACCAGCCTTAAACATAGAAAACTAAGGTTTAGCATCCAAATGATCCAGCAAATTATCATCCAGAATTACATTTGACTGACAAATGAAGGCAACCCCTTGCAGAAGGATAGAATACTCTTTGATATTTATGCTTTAAGAATTTATTTAAAATTTACTCTGGGCTGATACATACCAAGCTTCTTATAAACACTTGTTAACTGATAAATAAGTGGAATTATTCAATCTGGACTAGCAGTTAGAAAACTTGTTGAGACGGGTCTGGATTTACACTAATAGCAGGAAGATGTGGTACTGAGAGTAAACACTGCAAAGAGGACCAGCATGTTTCGAGCAACAGAAGGGTCAGTGAAGGTGACACTAGGGAGGTCTGGAGTTGGGGTGGGGTGGGTGGAGTCTAAGGCTGTGCTTCTTAAATTTCTAACACCCAGGGTAAAGAGACAGGTTTGTTTCTTTCGCTAAATTTCCAATCGGCCAGGACCAATATTTGTATAACATTAAATAGCAAAGAATTACTAGAACAATGATCACATGATATAAAGGTTTGTAAGTGTTTGCTTTCTATTTTTGTACATATCCCATCTTGTACATATCCCAGTAAAAAGCAGGTCACTGACTGCCGACAGGCTTCAGAACATGCTTTGAGAAGCGTCAGTTTGAGGAGCAGTCAGAGGTTACAGCTAGATTGTCAAGAATCTTGTACATAATTGAAGGATTCCAAACTTTATGCCATCAAAATTGGCATAAATTATCCTCCTGCATTTGCACTTTAGATTAACTTGCTTAAAACTAAATAAGATGTGCTGAATAGTTGTTTCATTAAACATGTATTTAAAAAATTATTTCGGCTTAGCAGATACTGGTTACTGTCCTATAAGTTGCTCAGCATTTTTATTTTAGAATGGAAATAAATGACCTCATTGGTGGAAATTTGGGTTTGTAGGGTAAAGGAACACTTTGTATCACCCAGATTGTCCCTCCCCTTTTCTCTTTCTTGTATCTGTTGAATGGAGTTAGTTGGATTTTACAGCAGATTTCTCAGGAGACCAGATCTGATCTGTGAGCCTCCTGTCTTTTGTTTTGCTCTCTTGAAATGTCTTTACCACCAGGTTTCAAGATGCTGCGAGGACATAGGACCAAAGTGGGCAGGCTGGGGCTCAGCCTCTCCAAAGGGGTTCACCACCGAGCTGTGATGGCCCTGAGGAGGGAGGATGTGAACGCCTGGGAGAGGAGGGCCCCACTGGCTCCCCGGCACATCAAAGGGATCACCAACCTGGGATACAAGGTCTTAATACAGCCTTCCAATCGGCGGGCCATTCATGATAAGGTAAATGTTTACAATTTTTTAAATATGTGGGAATAAAATGACCCTGTACTGAAAACTAAGGAGCATCTGAGTGAAAGTAAAATGTTTGCTAGGGTCACTTATATAGCACGTGGCAATATTCCTTGCCTTTAATTATAATGGGATTTCTAACTAGAATCCTTACCTGAGTTCAGAATTCAGCCAGTAAGCATTATTTTCACCCATTCCATGGTTTCTCCACTCTTCAGTCATTCTCTCCATGTGCAACCCTGGTTCTGGGACAAAGGCCAGTCTGACGCTCCTGTGTCACTCAGAAGGCTTGCCTCCAAGAAATGCTTCACTGAGGGGAGTTTATTCATGAGAGTTTCCCCTGCCGGCCACTGCATAAAGCCTTTTGCTTTGATTGTTACGTTTATTCTTCTCAGTCATTTTACGATGTCGGTTTGCCTCTTATTTTCACTTTAGATATGCATGTATTTTTTTCTGCCCTGAACCATTTGAAAATATGTGCAGATATCATGATACTTTACTACTGAATGCTTCAGTGTGTATTTCCTGGGAATAAATTATTTTCTATGTAATCCTCTTATCATTTTCACACCTAAGAAATTGGTAATTCCATAATATCATTTCACATAGTCCAGTTCAAATTCCCCATTGTCACAAATGTCTTTTTTGTTTTTTTTTATTTTAATTAAGGGTTAATTAAGCTTCACTGCATTTACTCCTATATCTCTTTAGTTCTTTTAATCTAGAAAAGCACCCCATTTTAATTTTTGTTTGTTTCAATGACACTGACTCTCTTAGAAGAGTCCAGGACAGTTGACTTCCAAAATCTTCCACTTCTAGGTGTAACTAGTCTAGTTTCTTCCTTGTGATTAGATTCAGGTTAAACAATTTTGACATAAATATTACATAAGTGTTATATGTTCTTCCCATTAGATCCTATCAAAGACACAAAATACTAGGTTGTTCTATGGTTAGGAAAGCGTGACCATGTGGCTGAGGTGGTTTACCACCAGATCTCTCCATTGTGAAAGTTTCTCCTTTTGTAACTACTGACTCATCTGTGAGGTGATATTTTCAGACCAATGAGTCTCCTGTTTCTCAACAACCTTTCAACTAATAATGTCAACATAATTAGTATCATTATTTCCAATTAAAATTTGATACTGAGTTTTTCTTACCTTTAAAATTTTATATTTGCATTTCTTTTCTGCAGCAGTAAAAAATTTAATTCCTTGTAAGACTAGTGCACTTTTTTTTTGCCTTATTCCATAATATACGTAACATAGATTTGGAATCATAATACTACTATTATAACTAACAATAAACCTATTAATGCTAAGAGAGTAAATCTTAAAAGTTCTCCTCACAAGAAAAAAAAAATCTGTAATTATGTATGGTGATGGATATTCACTAGACTTACTGTGGTGAGCACTTCACAAATAGCAAATCACTATGTTGTACATCTGAAACTAGTATGGTATTGCATGTCAATTATACCTTAATAAAAACCCTATTAAATGAAGTTTAATGTTTCTGTGAAGTTTTTCTTTGCCTTTAGAATACATCTCACAAGAATATTCAGAATGCTATGTTCAAAACTTACCTGAATTGTTTTCTCTGTGTGATTACATTGTCAATGTGTGATATCCATTTGGAGCATTTATTTTTGTTTCCATTACATTTTAATGTTTGGTTTTAGATCCCTTTTGATTTAATTAATTTCTCAAACAGGTGAAACATTTACAAGTTTCAAAGATTAAGACTTTGTGCAAAGATGTAATGCAAAGAAGTTTGGCTCTCATGTTAATCCCCTACATCCCTTTCCCACCCACCCCAGAGGTTACTGTTTTCATTAGTTTCTGACCTATCATTCCTATGTTAAATTTTTCAAGAACAAGTGTGTGCGTGTGTGCGTGCACATGTGCATGCGTGTGTGTGTGTGTGTGTGTGTGTTCTTATTTCTTCTTTAGTCTTATACATAAGGTTGTAGAGTCTCTATACTTTATTGCACTCTGCTTTGTTTAGTCAACAGCATATCCTGGAAATCACTTCAGGTCAGTTCAGAGAGATCTGCTTCATTCTATTTAATGGCTGTGTAGTAATTACTCCATGATTGATTATATATGTATCTATTATAAATGGGCAAAAGGACTGTTTTCAACTCTCTAGCACAGTCCACTGTGCAGAGTAGGGCAGTAATAAATACTAAATGAATGAAAAAAAAAAAGAAAAGTAAAGAGAAATATTGTAGATGCATATCTTTCTTTTAAACATATACCTGCATAATAAATCGCTATTTAGTTTTAAAGTTTCAGTGCCTTGTTGGTACAAAATATACATTTCACAAGCATATTAAATCACAGGTGCTAGTGGTTATGATCAAACTGTTTTACATAGGACTATGTGCTGAATTTTCTGATGTATTTTTTGCTATAAAATAAATCAAACACATTGGATTGGTCTTTGGTCAGCAAATGAAATTATTAGAAGTAGTTGTTCTATTATTTGTTCTACTCCATACAGATTTTATTCCTTCAGAAGGTTGTGCCTATAATTGCTACATTCATTTATTAAAGAAAATATGAGTCAACAACTCCAGATCAGGGAAATAACTTTTAACCAAAATTACATTTCCAGGAATATGTCAAAGCTGGTGGCATTCTTCAAGAGGATATTTCTGAAGCTTGTCTAATTTTGGGAGTTAAAAGACCCCCGGAGGAAAAGTTAATGTCCAAGAAGACTTATGCATTTTTCTCACACACAATAAAGGCTCAGGCGGCCAATATGGGCTTGTTGGATGAGATTCTAAAACAGGTAATTAGTGACCAGTATTCATAAATGTTAACATAGAAACATGATTTTTAAAAATTTTACTTTAAACTGTCAAGCGGTGTTTTAGTTTTCTTTCAGCATCTAGGGAATATATCTTGTTATTCACCTCAGTAGGAAAAGTGATATGCTAGTTAGTGCTTGGATAGTTCCTCTGCTCTTAGGGCTCTGTTGCTGTGTGACTTTGGAGTTTGTAGTATGAGTAACCAAACATATTTCAGTCTTTTTGTATTCTGAAATGGAAAGAATGATAGAAGCGTTCCTCTGAAACAACTACCAGTTTTTAAGGCCAGCTGGTCAGATATAACCAAGTGGAATTTTAGAGCAGAAAAGAACCTCAGGGATCATATCTCCCCACCTTAATTTTTCAGATGGAGCTCAGAGAGGTGAGATGACTTGACTGAGGTTGCACAGCTCTTTAGTGCCAGAACCGCAGTGTGCACTCTTTATATTTATTCACATCCATAAGGGGAAAAAAATCATTTTTTAAGATACAAATACTATGAAAAAACTATCAACTGTTTAAAATACAAAGTAGTCATTTAATAAATATTTACTGAGCACCTACTGTGTGATATTGTTCACTGCAATGACAATAAAATACCCCTGTTTTCACAGAGCTTACATTCTAGTGGGAGGAGACAGATGAAAAATAAATAAGACATCTGTTACTTGGCAACAAGATGGAGATACGTATGATATAGAAGAAAAAAGGAGACCTGGGGCTAGTGACAATGTAGTTGAAACAGGATGATCTGGGACAGCTTTATTGGGAAGATGGCATTGAGCAAAATTGGAAGAGGTGAAGGTCAAGCCATATCCATCTGGAAAGAGTCTTCCAAGCAGAAAAAATAGTAGTTTCTGAAGGACTTTTTGAGTGAAGGGTTTGAATAAATTATATTCTTAATGCTTATTTTGCCAGCTGGGTGCATGATAATTGGAGGTGGGAATTGGGAAACAAAATTGCTAAGAAGATTGTTAGCCTAAATTAGTCTAGATGCTAGGCTACAAGGGATGGTGGTTTGCATGAGGATGATGGTAGTGGAGATTGTGATACATGGACAAATCTTTGATGCATTTTAGAGATTTGATCTTGCAGGATTTACTGATGCAATGAATATGGAGTATGAGAGAGAGGAGTCAGAGATGACTTCTAGATTTTGACCTGAGCAGCTTACAAGAGTTGCCATAGATTGAGATGATGCTATTCTAAGAGGAGCAGGCTTGGATGGGAGGATCCAGAGTTGTTTAATTGTCCATTAGACATTCAAGGGGAGATGATTTGTGGGCCATTGGGTATGAGTTTGTGGCTCAAGTGGGCAACTCCTTCTGACACACATTTTGTATCTGTCAGTGACTGAATGGCATCTAAAGCCAGGAGACAGGATGAGGGCAGGGAGAGAATGGATAGAGAAGTCCAAGGTCCAAGTACTGGGGTAAGGATGTTAGAGCATTAGAAACTAGACTAGAATCTGAGAATAGGCAGAGGACAGGAGAGTTCACAAACAGTAAAAGCAGTGGAAGAAAATGTATTTTATATAAGCATAGAGAATACATCCTTACTAATTTCAAATATGCTAGACCTGGGCTATAGTTAATATGCAGTATTTCTGAAGAACAAATGCAAGAAATAACTAATGGAAATAACAATATAAGAGGGATGTTTACCTTTAATAGAAAAACTCCTTTAAGTACTTTGGAAACATGTTTTTGTTATATGAACTTTTATTCATCACAAGAAAATTACTAAAAACAGACCCAGCAGGGCTGCTTTTTGGAAATATTTTGTAACCAATTACTTGGAGTTGGATGAATATTAAACATTCTTAAATTCATGCATAGTAAAAATAATATGATCTTTGAGGGAATAAAATGACTGTTTAAAACATTCTATAATGACAATACATCAATAGCTTTTAGGCATGAATTAGTAAGATTTTCGAGAGAGGGAAGATTCCCAAGGAAAGAGGAAAAATGTGGCTTTAGTGAAGGAGAAGAAGTGAAAAGCAGTCTGCATATGCTACTTTTAAAATATCAGGGTATTTGTGAAAGGATGGAGAGAGAAAGAGAGAGAAAGGAAGGGAGGAGGAAAGGAAGCAGGGAGATTAAATGGGACAGAGAGAGAATGGTATTTGTGGTATGGACTTGAGAGGGATGTTGCTATTATTTCTAAGGTAGAAGAGATCTGGATTATTTAGAACGGCTGAGGGGAAGGAGCAGTGTAAAGAGGCATAATACAGGGAAGAGAAAGTTCCACAAGAGTAGTCTTGAAGGACATGGAAAAAATCCTGGATTCAATTCAAGGATTAGTTTCAGGAGGGATTTGTTTTCTTTGAACTAGAAGGAAGAATTGAGGTTGAGTGGGGCTGTAGATATATTTATAGATGGTGCTGGGCTAAAAGTAAGGAATAATGTTTTTATTATTTAATTGGCTACCATCAAGGGGCATTTAACCTCCTGCCAGGACTGTTCTTTCATCTCTGATCACAAACCTATCATTAGGTACTGACTTGGCATTTTCTAAGTATTTCATGGGGGGTAACTTATGTTAGCAAGTCAGATATATTTTATAAGAGGAAAAAATGTGAAATACTTAATAATTTATGTGCTTTACTCATGGAAAGTAAGCTTGATGGCTCTGATTGAAAAATTTTTTGGTCTTTCTTCAGGAAATCCGACTTATTGATTATGAGAAAATGGTGGATCATAGAGGAGTACGGGTAGTGGCATTTGGACAGTGGGCAGGTGTGGCAGGTGGGTAAGCCAGGGCTTTTATATCACCCATTTTCTGCATTTGCCTGGGGAGTGACTGTATGATTTCTTTTTTCTGTGGCAAGGGGATAGGACTGTTCATTTCCACCAAGAAAAATAAACATGGTGGTGTATCTAATGGTGATGAATATCAGGGAATACAATAAGAAGATTAAGTCATTATAATACACATATTTAAAAAATTAAAAGGAAAAAGAGAGCAGGGAGAAGGATAACAACCAATGATAGGCTATGACTTTTTAGGTAGTTCTCTTTGGAAGACATGAAGGAGAGGTCAGGTTGGTGATGAGAAATCAGGGAGTAGAGAGAACAGGAAAGGAGGAAAAAGGTACAGGGGCAGGAAACAACAGTGGAACAATCTAGAAAGGATAAGAGCTGGAGTTTGGAGGAAAACTCTACTTGTTTTTGTCCCAGTTAGTACTTTGAACCTTCTTTAGTTGAGAAACACCACTGTATGATTCAACTCTGTATCAGATTAGATTACTTAAAGATCTGTAATTAGAACAAGTAGACATAACCTTTTGTAGGGATAGAGGCCACTAAAACACTGTCAGCCACCCAGACATAACTAACAGTTATTGAACACTCCATCCAACACTGCAGACTATGTATTCCATTTGTTTCAAACCACATGGAAAATTGACCCAGATGGTCCATATGCTCGTCACAAAGCAATTCTTAAAGTAATTCTTAAACAGTTTGTAAGGGGGTATTGTGAATAGGCCAATGACTTAGACAATGCTGATACAATAGACAAATCCTTGAAAGGCACAAATTACCAAAAACAACTCACGAATAAATAAATATCTTGAATATCAATGTACAAAATAAGTTCCTCTCATAGGGATTTATCCAGAGAAATAAACTATTTTTTGTAAAACTTGTTTATGGTAGCGTCATTCATAATGGCCTAAAAACAGTCCAGATGTCCATCCATGGAGGAATGGGTACATAAATTGTGTTATATCTATAAAATGGAAAACTTCAGCAATAAAGAACAAACTCATATACACAAAGTATGTATGAATCTCAAAAACATCATCTGAGTGAAAGCAGACACACAAAAAAGAATGTACTTATAATTTCATTTATATGAAACTGTAGAAAAAACTATACAGACAGAAGTAAGATCAATAGTTGTCTGGGGCCAAGGGTTGGGAAGGATTGACTGGGATGATGGAAATATTCTTTATCTTGATTATGTCAGTGGTAATGTGGTGATATAGGTGAGTACATTTGTTAACAGTTGTCAAAGTATATACTATAAATTGGTGCATTTTATTGTATATAAATTATTCATTTAAAAGTTGACTTTAGAAAAAAGGTCAAAGAAGTTTTGGTAGGCTTGTGGAGAGGGAAAGTTCTATTCCTAAAAAACAGAAGGGGAAAATGGATACTGTGGTCTTTACCACGGGCATGCTGAGTTTTCAACATTTGAGGACGTCCAAATTGAGAAATATGGGGTCATCAGCATATAAAAAACACTTGAAATTTAAGACTAGATGAGACTAGCTAAGGAAAAGAATATAGAGTTAAAAGAGAGTAGGGCCTGGGACAGAATCCTGAGGCTCATTACTGCATAAGGAAAGGGCAGAAGACACAAATATAAAAGATGGGCATGGGAAGAGGTGCCTACAGAAATGCAGAGTAAAAATTTTCAAGTCAGGAATGCTGAGGGAAGAGTGCTACCGCCAAGAGGGGCGCTAAATTGCCAAATACCCCTGACAAATAAGTCGAGATCTTAAAAGTGCCCACAGAGTCAGACTATTTAAGCCACTAGAATGGCTGATGGGTTCTATGGTCCGTGGTGACTTTTTTTTGTTTGTTCATTTTTGGTACAGTAGGAATAGAAACATGCTTTAATGCTGATAAGAACGAATCAGTAGAGAGGGCCAGTGAAAGGAATAACTCAGGAGTGAATTCCTTAGAGAGGCAGGAAGGGATGGGATCTGGAGCAAAGGTGGAGAGATTAACTTTATAGAAGAAAAGAGCCATTCTTTCCATTTTAGCAGGGTTCAAAGTGGAAGAGGTAGGTGAGACTGCAGCTGGGTAAGTGCTTTTGATGGCAGAAAGTTGACAGGATGTGTATCGGAGGACCACTGGGGCCCCTTCCAAATTGGAGATGAGTGGTCTGCACTTCCTCAGAGCACTGAGCAGGGTGGAGGATGGGTACAGCAAACAGTTTTAGCACTTCCCAACTAATGGTCTCTGTTGGTCTGATTCTGCAATAGGAATGATCAACATTTTACATGGAATGGGTTTAAGGCTCCTTGCTTTGGGACATCACACACCTTTTATGGTGAGATGTTTATTTTGTTTATGTTTTTGAGAATACATAATAAGGAAAGGGCAGAAGACACAAATATAAAAGATGGGCATGGGAAGAGGTGCCTACAGAAATGCAGAGTAAAAATTTTCAAGTCAGGAATGCTGAGGGAAGAGTGCTACCGCCAAGAGGGGCGCTAAATTGCCAAATACCCCTGACAAATAAGTCGAGATCTTAAAAGTGCCCACAGAGTCAGACTATTTAAGCCACTAGAATGGCTGATGGGTTCTATGGTCCGTGGTGACTTTTTTTTGTTTGTTCATTTTTGGTACAGTAGGAATAGAAACATGCTTTAATGCTGATAAGAACGAATCAGTAGAGAGGGCCAGTGAAAGGAATAACTCAGGAGTGAATTCCTTAGAGAGGCAGGAAGGGATGGGATCTGGAGCAAAGGTGGAGAGATTAACTTTATAGAAGAAAAGAGCCATTCTTTCCATTTTAGCAGGGTTCAAAGTGGAAGAGGTAGGTGAGACTGCAGCTGGGTAAGTGCTTTTGATGGCAGAAAGTTGACAGGATGTGTATCGGAGGACCACTGGGGCCCCTTCCAAATTGGAGATGAGTGGTCTGCACTTCCTCAGAGCACTGAGCAGGGTGGAGGATGGGTACAGCAAACAGTTTTAGCACTTCCCAACTAATGGTCTCTGTTGGTCTGATTCTGCAATAGGAATGATCAACATTTTACATGGAATGGGTTTAAGGCTCCTTGCTTTGGGACATCACACACCTTTTATGGTGAGATGTTTATTTTGTTTATGTTTTTGAGAATACATATTACACTTCAAGAACAGGAAAATGCCTCAGGTTGTAGACTAACTTGAATCACATGTGTTTGCTTCCAGCACATTGGCATGGCTCACAACTATAGGAACAGCAGTCAGGCTGTTCAAGCTGTCCGTGACGCTGGTTATGAAGTATCTCTGGGTTTGATGCCAAAGTCAATAGGGCCCTTAACGTTTGTGTTTACAGGGACTGGTAATGTATCTAAGGTAAATTCCACTTGTCTTCTTTCTGTAAAGCACTCTGAAATTCAAATTAACCCAAAGGATGTGGGCTTTTTGTGGGCATTTAGGAGCCCTGCTTTTCCATGAATGGCCATTCTATTTTTGGTATTTCTTATCTATGTACTTTTTCCCATAGTAAAGAGCTGTAATGGTCCAAACTTATCTTCTTTGCTTTTAGTTGATTCCAAGTTTTCAGAGGCTTTGAATAGTTTTTCTTTTTAGAGAGGTAACTCATTGTTAATGGTGTAAAGGTCTGTTCTTAGGGTGGAGATGCCCACACATTTGGAAGTGATCCCAGAATGTACCATTTCCAAGCTGACTTGTAGTTTTGCCAATACCGTGTTAGCAAGCTTAATTCAGCACTGGACTTTCTTCCTTCTGGGGTAGTTTTAAGAATGCATGTGTGATCCTCAGAGAAACTTGTAATTGTAAAGTAGAACTTTCTTCAATGAAAATACTTTACCAATGGCACAATTACTATTTGTACTATACTATGAGATAGGTATTTTTTTTTTGGTAGAAAATATAGTTTCTGCCCTTGAAATAATTTCTAAAATGGAGCAAAAAATAAATAGAAATATTTTACTGTACTTTCTTTCCTAAATACTCTTGTTTCTACTCTGAGTAATGTAGATAAAAAAAATTAAAGCCCCTTTCATGAGTGTTATTCCAAGTGGAATAGAAGCTGGTTTGTAGGCTGTGTGCAAGAAGCTCCTCTGTGCTTCCGTGTTGCAGGCCTGGTTTTGGGACAGGAGAAGTGGAGCTGTATAATTGTAGGGAAATGAATTGGGATCTTTGCAGGAAACCAAGTTGGCTCTTTTCCTATTGATTTTCCGGTTTTTACTCATGTGTTCTTCACAGGGAGCCCAGGAAATCTTCAATGAATTACCTTGTGAATATGTGGAGCCACATGAATTAAAAGAAGTTTCCCAAGCTGGAGGTGAGGAGAGAGGAGGGTATTGTATTTTTCACTGTTTTTTTAACAGTTTCTGTGTTATATTTTATCATTGTAAATCTATATCATTTGTCACCTACTTTACTAATTTCTTTCTCCTCTGCAAGACTTGAGAAAAGTGTATGGGACGGTGTTAAGTCGCCATCATCATCTTGTCAGGAAAGCAGATGGTGTATATGATCCTGTAGAGTATGACAAATATCCTGAGCGCTACATAAGTCGTTTTAATACTGATGTGAGTATCATGCTGAGCTTCTGAGTTAGTTGCTCATGATGTATGCTATAGTTAGGTCGTTTTCACTGAGGGAAATGATGAATGTATACATCGGTTTTCAGTTCCCCATATTGAATTGTTGTCCTTTGGAGCATCATGAGTTGGCCTTAGGATCTGATGGCTTTTACTGATGTTTGGTATGGCTTTTGCCTAGTGGTCTTAGTGCTTTCTATGGATATACCCTCTGCTCCACTGTCTCTGTTTCTGTTGTAGATCTACGTGTGCCCAATGGCTCTAAACCATTTCCTTTGGATTGCTGTTCTCCCTATTTACTCTGGACTAGTTGGTTCTTTTGGCAAAACACAGTATCTTTGAGGTCTGATCTCAACATAGGTTTATCCCTCCTATGGCCACATATAGTAACCATCACCTCAGCTAGCCATCCTGAAGTGCATGCCGTTGATTACAGGAGCTAGGGTAAAGTAGGATGGCCACACAAGCACAGACAGTGTCATCCCCATTCTACAGAAACATTACAATTCAAATTCTTCTGATCGGGACACACTGGCCTCATCTTGTAAGAAGAACAAGATATTTGTGTGTTCTTGGTCTTACAATAGTCCTACTCAAAAAAAACCAGCAAATCACAGCATAAGACAAAAAATGGCATGCATGTATTGTGAAGAGAAATGCTTTAAATAATTTTAAATATATTTGAACAACACAGCATATTTAGATTCCAGTATGAATTTTAGCTGTTGTAGCTTGTAGAGCATGTTATAGGGAAGGACTCTTACCTGCAGCTTGAGATACTTGAGAAACAAAATTTTGAAACTAGTTTCAAACTGAAAAAATTTAAATCTAGTCAGTTTCTATCCCTTCGTTTTTCTCCAATCCCAGATTGGAACCTAAAATTTATAGTAACCTAATTGCCATGTATGCATGTATGTAGTACATGCATACGGAGTGTAGAGATGTTATCTGAATTTAATCTTCAGTGTATTCCTTTGAGGAATGGGGTACATGTTATCCCCATCTTGTGGGTAAGGGAAACAGAGCCCAGAGAAGTTGAGGTAGCATGATTTGGATCACACTCTACTGGTGGCTGACCTTGAATAGGGAGCTAGGTTACTTCAGTCTGTCTTTTCCTTTTTCTTGGCTATGCAAGACACTATAGAACAAAAATATTAAAATATTAATGTTCACATATTTCTCTTTCATGGGATAATTCTTCACTGAAATCTGAGTGGGTATTTATTGTCTTTGCCTCACAAAGTGTCCAGTGACCTGGAAAATAACAGTCAGTTAGAAGTAACATAAATTATTCCTCATGAACTTTCCTAAGAGCTCTCTTTCAGGGCATTGCATTGAAGAACACTATTTCCTATCTCGCTGAACTTGGAGCTTGCTTTACAGATTGCACCCTATACAACTTGTTTAATTAATGGAATCTACTGGGAACAAAACACCCCCCGTCTACTAACTCGCCAAGATGCTCAGAGTCTCCTGGCTCCAGGCAAGTCCTCGGTTGCTGGTGTTGAAGGCTGCCCTGCGTTGCCACACAAGTAAGGACTTCATCAGAGATGGCAATTTTCAGCCCATTATTAGGATTTCATATGTAGGGGATTCACATATCATAGTACTGACCCTCAGTGGTGAGTTGTCTGCTTTATCTTACTTGACCTTTTGGTGGATTTTGACAGTCAACCTTCCTTCCTTCTTAAAACTTTCCTAACTTCTGCGAATCCATATGTACTCCAGAAGTACCCTCCTCAGAGAAGTCTTCTCCTGTCTGCACCTTCCCATCTCTCTCTAGTCTGTTACTTTTTTTCTGAAATTCATGATTGTTTGTTTTCCCTTATTTATGATTTTTCTCCCTCCTAATAAAACTTCATCTCCTGGTGGATAGGGGCCCTGTTTATTTTGGCCACAAGTACATTGCCTGATACGTAATATGCATGGAAATAGTTATTAAAAGTTGAATTCCTTAACTGATCAATAAATATTCGTGGAATCGTCTGCCTGGCACTCTGCTAAGGAGAAGGACAGAGAAAAGACATGGTTACTTTCCTCAAGCATGTAGCTGGCGTCAACTAAGTTCTCAGCAGATGCCAGGAGCAATCAGTACCACAGGGTTTAGGAGAGAGTAAGAGCATGGGGCTCAGCAAAGCCCTGTAAGCAAGGAGTGAGGAGAATGAGAATTTCAAGTGATAGGATTGGTGCTTGATACGTGTGGAAATACCAAAGCTTAAGATGTAGTGAGGGAGAGAGCCTAGCTCCAGTTAGGCTGTATATAGACAAGTGATAATTGGAGGTTGGGCAGGACAATTTCAGTCAACCTCTAAGGGATTTTGAATGTGGGGCTGAGATGTTTGTTCCTAATTCTGGAGATTTCCATGTTTTAACATATGAAATTCTGTAGTACTAAGCAGGGCAGAGGTAGTTTAATCGAAGCTTCTTTAAGATATTCAGAGTTGGCTACATGGGTTAACTTTAGGCTATTGTCAATGATTTCTATAGGGAAAGGGTTTTCCACCTTTATTTCTTTCCCTTTTTCTTCCTTCTCCTCTTCCACTCCATCTTCTTCTTTCTTTGCGGAGACTGAAATGCTTGCTGAGAAGATTCTCTGTATCTCAGAAGAACAGTGTCCTGAACTGTGAGCAGTAGGAATAAAAGCACAAGAGCCTAGGAGATACTTGGCATCACATTGAGAGCTGTTTCAAGCACCTTTCATTTTTATTCATTTTCTGTCATCTTGCGGACCTCAGAGTTCCATGCTCTGATCTGAATATTGATGTAAATTGCAGGCTTGTGGCAATATGTGACATCTCAGCCGACACAGGAGGATCCATAGAGTTTATGACTGAGTGTACAACAATAGAGCGTCCCTTTTGCATGTATGATGCAGACCAACATATTATTCACGACAGGTGAGTTTGCTCAAGTTAGATGGTGAGAGATGGATAATAATACATCATTTACCCACCTTGATATATTAGTCTAAAATACTTAGTATTTTACATCATTATGAAGGCTTTGCAAATATCCAGAGATATGCTCAAACATATTTAAAAACTTGGTAGAAACACTACATGCAAATTTGAGCACTTAAATACATACCTCTTGTATTTAAATGGGAGATGAGTTGCTGAAGAAGGGAAAAGTTTTGTTTGAGAAGTCTTGTTTATTTTCTTATATACTTTGGTACAAATTACAAGTGATCATGAAGCAAATGTAATGCAGTAGACATCTAGAAAAGTTAGAGTTTTCAAATAGCATTTTGTACATCTGATAAAGCGTACTGCTTCTCCTAGTGTTGAAGGGTCTGGGATTCTGATGTGTTCCATTGACAATCTGCCGGCACAGCTCCCAATTGAAGCTACAGAATACTTTGGAGACATGCTTTTCCCTTACGTGGAAGAAATGGTAAGCCAACTGGTAGCATCTGCAACAACTCTGTGGCTTTAAATAGTACTCATATGAATGTTCTGGTCTTCTGCATCTGAGAAATCTGTTGTAAAGTACTTTAAGTAGTGATCATATGAATGTTCTGGTCTTCTGTATCTGAGAAATCTGTTGTAAAATAAAACGACAGCTCTCCCCCAAAGTATTTACTGACACTTTGTCTCATGGGTAATATAATTCTATAACTTCCTTTATGATTAATTACAATTGTGTTTGTCTCTTATTAAGAGCTTTCTTGAGATGTGAATAAGATTCGCTCTATTAGTAATTCTTCCTGGTGTCTAGGTCAATTCCTATTAGGCCATTCTTATTATTCAGATCTGAAAAATCAGAAATATAGAAAATTTTAGTGGATTTCATCACTAAATTAAATGACAGCTTTTGTTGAGGTCATGTATTTTTCACGGGGATCGGTGATTGACTACTGAAATACTATGTTATCTAAGTTCCATTTTCTTTGCCAAAGATAAGCTTTCTTATTCCAGTTTTTATCCTAAGCATGTATGCACCCTGTGTTATTTCTGTTGCTAATGGAGTCTGCCCCTGGCAGTGATTTCAAAGGTATGAGTTGTGGCTATGGTCCTTTACATCTGGAGTTTTACTCAAGAGCTTGCACACTAAAATAGGGCAGTAGTTAGTGGGGACATGAATATGTGAAACTTCGAGTCCGCCATCTTCTTTTCTTTCACACACTATTCCATTTTAACCTTTTATTTTTCCTCCTGGTATATGTCAGCAGGGAGATGTAACAGGCTTCCTAGATGTTTACCATTTTTGATGATCTTCACTCATTTCAGCCTGGCATCATTTCCCTGTAGACTTAATGGCTTCATTTAGTCCTTTTAGTGACTTTTGAATTTCAGATGCTCTCTTTTCAGTTCTAAAATTTCCAGTTAGATTTTTTTCCCTCTTTCTCTGTTGAGAATTTCTGTCTTTTCATTTATTATGAATGTTCTTTCCTTTATCACATGGAGCATAGTTATCGAAGCTGCTTTATAGTCTTTGCCTCATATTTCCAAAATTCTGAATCACCTTGGGGTTGAACGTGGTTGTCTTTTGCCTTGAGAATGGGTCAGGTCATAGTTGTCTGGTTTTCTTAAGTTGAGTAATTTTGAACTGTGCCCTGGATGATGTGACAAGTTATGCTGTGGAGATTCTGGGTTGTTGCATTTCTCTGAAAAAGCCTGACTTGCCTGTTTTAGCAGGCAGTTAATTTGCGCCTGTGGTGGGGGCCGCTTTCGCCTTTGCCTGGGCTGCTTGTAGCCTGACCCTTGTGTGCTCAGTCTGTGTATCATCCAAGGACTTGGAACAGAGTTTTACATGGAAGTTGGTTTTCACTTTTCTAAATCTGCCCTTTTTAGCATTTATCAATTGTCCTTAATCAAAATTGCCATTCGTTCAGTACAGTGGATCTCATATAGATATTAGGAGAAAAGCAGCCCAATTCAGTGAATTCTCAGTAAGGTGTGATTGATGGTTAGCACATGTAGCTCAAGAGAGGTAAGTATGTTTCTTAAAAAAAAATCTTCTTTTATTAAATAACAAAATATGATTTTTATTTTATATAATAGTATAAAATGTTGAAATATCCTAGGTGAGTGCTCTATGAGTATACAGCATGATAAATTTTCAAAAAGACACCCATGTGAACACTGTGTAGGTAAAAAATAAAACAATGCTGGCATCCCAGAAACCCCCTTGTGGCTCTCCCTGAACTATCCCATCTCCTTCCTAAAGGTATGTACTATGTTGACTTCTAACTATGGATTTGTTTTGACTTTTTTGGGAAAATTCTTTTTTTGGACATATTAATCAGAGTTTAAACTCACTTCTGATAAATAATTCCAGTAAACTTCTTGAGTCTGTTCCTTGTTTTACTTTTGTCTTGTTTTTTAGTCAATTCTTATCACTTCATATGCCTGCTTATTTTTGACTGAATGCTGGATAGTGTGTGTTCAAATTTTAGAGAAGATTTGAAGCTCTGAATGTTATGTAATTTTCTCCAGAGAAGATTTCCTTTGATTCTGGCAAGGCTAGAAGAAAATGACCTCAATTCAGTTGGGGATGCAGGTGATTCAAAGCTGGGCTCTAGTCCTTTGGAGAACTGATGTTTTTCAATTTACCATTTATCTTAGAATATGTCTTTCAGGATGCCAAATGAAAACCTGTCATTTATTAAGGGCCCCTTCATTAGATATTAAACTCTTATTTTTGTTACCCTATTGTTTAAAGTCAGCCAAAGCTCAGTTTCTCAGTCTCTCTTCTGCTTTCCCTTCAATCTCTCAACATCCCAGCAACTGTGCCCACATTGGCAACTACACCTAAGGAAAGTGGTGCCAAATATTGAACTCATTCCTTCTCCAGAATTACAGTGCAGCAAATTGTTGCTACTTTTTTTTGGTATCATTAATCTACAATTACATGAAGAACATTATGTTTACTAGGCACCCCCTCTTCACCAAGTCCCCCCCGACATACCCCTTCACAGTCACTGTCCATCAGCATAGTAAGATGCTGTAAAATCACTACTTGTCTTCTCTGTGTTGTAGAGCCCACCCCATACCCCCTCACACACGTTATACATGCTAATTGTAATGCCCCCTTTCTTTTTCCCACCCCTTATCCCTCCCTTCCCACCCATCCTCCCCAGTCCCTTTTCCTTTGGTAACTGTTAGTACATTCATGGCTTTTGTGATTCTGCTGCTGTTTTGTTCCTTCAGTTTTTCTTTGTTCTTATACTCCACATATGAGTGAAATCATTTGGTACTTGTCTTTCTCTGCCTGGCTAATTTCACTGAGCATAATACCCTCTAGCTCCATCCATGTTGTTGCAAGTGGTAGGGTTTGTTTTCTTCTTATGGCTGAATAATACTCCATTGTGTGTATGTACCACATCTTCTTTATCCATTCATCTACTCATGGACATTAGGTTGCTTCCATTTCTTGGCTATTGTAAATAGTGCTGGGATAAACATGGGGGTGCATCTGTCTTTTTCAAACTGGGCTGCTGCATCCTTAGGGTAAATTCCTAGAAGTGGAATTCCTGGGTCAAATGGTATTTCTATTTTAAGCATTTTGAGGAACCTCCATACTGTTTTCCACAATGGTTGAACTAATTTACATTCCCACCAACAGTGTAGGAGGGTTCCCCTTTCTCTACAACCTTGCCAACATTTGTTGTTGTTTATCTTTTGGATGGTAGCGATCCTTACTGGTGTGAGGTGATATCTCATTGTGGTTTTAATTTGCATTTCTCTAATGACAAGCAATGTGGAGCATCTTTCATGTGTCTGTTGGCCTTCTGAATTTCTTCTTTAGAGAACTGTCTGTTCAGCTCCTCTGCCCATTTTTTAATTGGATTATTTGCTTTTTGTTTGTTGAGGTGCATGAGCTCTTTATATATATTAGATGTCAACCCTTTATCAGATCTGTCATTTATGACTATATTCTCCCATACTGTAGGATACCTTTTTGTTCTATTGATGGTGTCCTTTGCTGTACAGAAGCTTTTCAGCTTGATATAGTCCCACCTGTTCATTTTTGCTTTTGTTTCCCTTGCCTGGGGAGATATGTTCATGAAGAAGTCACTCATGTTTATGTCTAAGAGATTTTTGCTTGTTTTTTTCTAAGAGTTTTATGGTTTCATGACTTACATTCAGGTCTTTGATCCATTTCGAATTTACTTTTGTGTATGGGGTTAGACAGTGATTCAGTTTCATTCTCTTACATGTAGCTGTCCAGTTTTGCCAGCATCATCTGTTGAAGAGACTGTCATTTCCCCATTGTATGTCCATGGCTCCTTTATTGTATATTAATTGACCATATATGTTTGGGTTAATGTCTGGAGTCTCTATTCTGTTCCACTTTGTAGTAGAGCTTGAAGTTGGGGAGCAAGATCCCCCCCCACTTTACTTTTCCTTCTCAAGATTGCGTTGGCTATTTGGGGTCTTTGGTGGTTCCATATGAATTTTTGAACTATTTGTTCCAGTTTGTTGAAGAGTGCTGTTGATAATTTTATAGGGATTGCATCAAATCTGTATATTGCTTTGGGCAGGATGGCGATTTTGACTATATTAATTCTTCCTAGCCAGAAGCATGGGTTTGCTACTTTTTGAACTTAAAAACTGAGGCTTTTCATGTTTTACATGGTTTCATTCAATGGGAGGATTGGTTGGAAAATAGTTAATTCACCTTGCTGGGTAGAAAAGGTACATTAAAAAAGGTACTGTGTTTATATCTATATAAATCAGTAATTAATATATTTAAAGGCAGTGTAACAAAGTTAAGAATATCAGACAGTGAAGTTTGAGAGATTTTTGTTCAGGTGGCATTGCTTAGATGTCTGATGACCAAGCCAACTTCTCAAAGCCGTCACACTGTCTTCCTTTTGTACATCACTGTAGTCCTGTAGACAGTGTGGTAGGATTGCCATGTGGGTATCTATCTCAGCACTGTCTTTAAGCACTAGGCATTTATGGAAATTGGTGACTGTCTCTATTCTGTAGTCTTGGTATATGTGTATCTGCCTACCACTAAAAAATTAAGAATATTGCCTATGTTCTTTTCTGATAACCATATGGGAACTGTATGTAAAACATATACAATGTCCCTTTGTCCCTAAATTTCCCTTTTTGATTTAAGATTCATATAGACCCTATAGCACTGCAGGGCACAGGCTATAAAAACACAGCTTCTGAACTATAGAGGCATGAGGTCCTGGAAGGGGATGAGACAAGTGTGCAACACTGCCACAAGGTGAAATGTGACAGCCATAAGAAAGATGATAATGAAGTTGTAGAAGAAGAGACTCTGTCCTGTTGGATAAAGTCAGGAGAGATTTTGTGAAAGAGGTGACATTTGAGTTGGCTCTTAATAGATGTATGGGGCCTGTTCATTTGCGTGGAAGTGAGAGGCACCCTATGTGATGGAGTGAGGAGAGCAAAGGTTAAATTTCACATAGGGATTTTGTGAGTTGTCAAGTCTGTTGGCGTAATGGGGAGTCTATTGGTTCCATGTTGGAAAGGGTCTTAATGCCAGGATAAACAGCTTGAAATTAATTTAGGAAAGAGTAAGGGGCTCTCAAAGGTGTTACGTGTGGAAGTGACAAGACGTACCATCTGCTTCAGGACTCTTGTGCTGGTGGTTTTGTAATGATTGGAGTCCAGCAAGAGAGACAGCTGAATGCAGTCTGCAAGGCTTTTGTTGTCTCCTATGTTTGTCTTTCTTTGAATAGATCCATGACAGTTATTTAGTTTCTTGGGAAAGACTTTATTATATTTTAAATAGTTATTGCTTGTATCCATTCATCTATTTATTGAATATTTACCATCTTATAATGTAGCAGGTATATGGCAAGATGACAAGTGCAGTTCCTACCTTTAAGGAATGTTTGGGGGGCAGGTATTGGTAAGGGCTTCACAGAGAAGCAATCCTTCAGCTGTATCTTAGAGGGCAAAGAAGGGGAGGTCCAAACAGAGGAACAGCATGCAGAGCATCTACGTGGTGGAGCACAGAGGCATGAGAAAGTGTGGTGCAGATAAGCAGCTCCACACACACTAGGCCTGAAACACTGGGTGTGAGGCAAAAGAGTTAAGGTGGGAGAGGCAGAGCCAGGCTGTACTGTCTGGTGGGCCACAGAGGGAGCTGGGGGCTTCATCTGGAAGGCAGCAGAAAGCTACTGCATCATTTTAAACAGGCACAGGGGAAATCATCAGGTTTGTGTTTTAAATTGGCAATAAATGAGAGGAAGGGAGGTGGAAGTAGTTCCCATGGCCCAGGAAGGCTAATATAGGCTGTAGAATGAGAGGTAAAGAGCAGAGAGAGTGAAAAGATACCCAAGAGTTCAGAGGTTTAACCATATATCCAGTGATATTTGCACTCGTTCTATTATCTACTAAGGGCTCCTGGCCTGTGGAGGGGCTGGCAGGTGGAGGAGTCAGCTTGAGAAGGGAGTGCTCCATTGGTGCCTGGGAGAAAGGAGTGGTGGGAGGCCCCTGGGGGTGTCAACTCCATGAACTTCCCAAAAAACGTCCTGCCTGACAGATACACTTACCTTTCCTTGGTGCCCATGTCCCAGGAATAGATAGCCTCGGTACCTTGTGTTTTAGATACATGAAAGTAGCTTTATATTTATTTTAATACAGTAAGTAGGTCACTCCTACCAGCGTCTTGTAGGTACATTTTGCTCTTTCTTAGTTGGGTGGGTGCTCTAGACCCTAACCCATGGACGGGGGTGATGATTGTCTCATTAGCACTAAGGCCATGATATAGAAGTTATAATACTGACTCATGTGCATAGTCTGTTTAGGAGTTGGAGACCTTGGGAGAAAAGAGGAGGATAGAGGATGCTGGGATGTTAGTATGTGAGATGTGGTTTTTGTGTTGCCAGCAAGCAAAGATGATTATAATCAAATTTTAGTTTTGAAAGTGGAAATTGTGCTGAAATGGTGTGTTCTTGGAGGGTGGAATCCACTGCTTGTAGAAGGCTTCTATTTCCATTTATTTATAGTTAAGGGATCTTCGGGAAACTTTCCTCAATTCTTTTTTTTTCTGAACTAATATTTTAATATGGATACAAACATCAATAAGCCTTCTTTACAATGTCATTTATCTCTTATCAATCTATTTTCCTTTCAGATATTGTCAGATGCAACTCAGCCTCTTGAAAGTCAGAATTTTTCTCCTGTGGTGCGAGATGTAAGTTGTGAAAATAATTTTTTTTCCCATGAATGTATTTTCCCACTACCATCCCCTTTCTCTTTCCCTTTTCCTCTCCTTATCTTTCTTTCTCTGTTTTTGTTACTCTGTCTGTTTCTGTCAATCATGAACCAATATTTCTGGGACTAAAACATGGATACTAAAGAAATGTTTGTCATATACATTTAGGCAGTGATTACATCCAATGGTATGTTGCCTGATAAGTATAAATATATCCAGAAACTCCGAGAGAGCAGGTAAGTACTATTCTTATTTTGGTTCTCTTGAGTATCTTCTAGTACTTCAATGTGAGTTCATGATACTAGGTTTATACAATAGATAAAATTTGAAAATGTCTGTAAATATAGGAAATCTAAACTAAGTGACTGGCTGAAACCAATGTGAATTATTTTCCCTCTAACAGCATTGTAGCATCACTTTGACTTACTGATGCCCTAGGTAGACTTGTGTGTAAGCAAGCAAAAGTCCAAAAGGTTGTCTGGGTAGCATCTTGTTCTTTCTGTAGGATGTTGTAGGTTTTCTTTCCTCAGTTATTTTCTCAAAGGAAAATGAGCACACTAATCCTTTCTGTGGTGCTTTCAGTCTTTTTTTGGTTGAGGGCTTGGACTCTCTTTTGTTTAGTGTAATGTTTAGGCAAGTGGGCTCTTGGTGAGAAATTAAGACAAGTAGTGAAGAAAGAAAATGGTGAGAAGTCAGGTTTCCCTGGGGATTCATATTAGGAGGAAGGTGCGAGAAAATAATGTGGCAATTCTACCCAAGAGAGTAGTTCTCTTAGAAAGATTCTTAGCTAGGGCTCCTGTTTCCTTAATTGATTTTTCTTGCTCAGAGTTTGAAGACACTCACATTTCTTTGGAATGTTCTGGCGTTCTTCAGCTGATGGTACTTGATTTGTGTTTATATCTGCTCCACCAGTCTATTCATAACAAACAAACAAACAAACAAAACCCCATGCATTGAATTCTTAGGATAAATCAGAGTGGGAAAATTAAAAACAAAGAAATGTCTTATCTTAATATTCAGTTATTCCATCTATAAAAGGTCAACAAAAAGATCTGTCCAGATGAACTACATTGATCTTATGCTTTTTTGCTTATAGTTGCTTTTTATGTGTCAATGAAATAGTCTGGCAAACCATACCAAGAGTGTATCAATTTTTTCTTTTTTTAAAGCAGCTAGCTCTATATCCCTGTAGGAAAGTTTTTATTGGGGAAACTTCACGTGTTTGTTTTTCATAGCTCTCTGTTATCTTTTGATTCTCACTGCCTGATGGTCTCTTATATTACTATCCCTCGTGATGTGTCAAACAGGACCAGTCACAATAACAGTCTCACTCTTTTGCATCATACTGCATGTAGCACTATGTCTACTTGGCTGCAACTGCTAGAATTTCCTGCCCTCTGTCCTGGTGAAATCTTATGCTAAGAAACTGATACTGAACATTGCATTTTGAAAGGAAATTTAAATTATCTCACATCCAGCCTTATTCTTACATTCTGTTCATCACTTAGCCTGGAAGGTTTATGTTTGCTGATGGGGTGGACAGTATTGAAATTTAGGAGTGAGTTTTAAAAAACTTATTTGAAACATTTTATTTTGGACATTAAAATACTAAGCTTTAGTCACACAAACTATAAAAAGTGGTATTAGAAAGGATATACATTAACCAAATAATAGTGGTTCTTTCTGGGAGGTGAAGTGGGATGGGGATCAATGTTAAAGGACAACTCACCTCATCAGCAATATGAGTGTTGGAGGTAAAAAGGGGCAGGAACAGTTTGTATTTAGGTTTATTTTTATTCACTCATAATCAATGATAAAGTTAAAATTTGAGAGACATCCTGGCCTGAAAGATTTCAACAACAGAGCTTTCTGCTTAAGTCCCTGCACCCAGCCATTTCCATGGTTTTACATCAATAATCTGGGAATTCGATTCAAAAGACTTTTCATGAGCATCTTCCATATTTAAGACAAAATCTGCTGAGCATTAATGGGTTTCTAAGGATGGATAAGACTTAGTCACTGTCTTGGAGTTCATAGTTTGTAGGAAAAAGGGATTTATCTGCCAGGAAGGTACAATTTCCAACAGAATAAACAGTTCAAGAATCAAAATCCAGTCTAGTAATTCATGTTAGGTTTCTACATTTAACTCATGGCATTTGTGATTTCAAAGTTAGGGTTTTAACTGTTTTCAAATGACCCCAAATATAAATGACAAAATAATGTCTAATATGGATAATAATCTCCTCCTCAGATCGTTGTCTCCTCGGATTGTTGTGAGGAGTAAATAAGGTTTCCGATGTAAAGCCCCTAGCGTGATTTTGAATCATGTCCCTGGAAGGACAAAGTGTGAGACCAAGTTACTTAATCGTGAGTAAGCCAGGCAGTGGTCCAACATCTGTACCTCACTAGTGGTATTGGGAATCGTGAAAGTCTAGGGACATATAACCTCAGAGATGTCAGGGTCTACTGTTCATTGTACAAAACCTACAATAATTAAGAAATGTTGTTACAGGGAACTCCTGTTGAGGTTATTATAAGGAACGTGGGAAAAAGTTAACACTTCATAGTCTAAGTTTTAGTTTGGCTTGAGGACAGCAAGATTTTGTTACTAAATTTTTTTCTTTGTTAAATCCCGCAACCCCCTCCTCTTTTATTTATAGGGAACATGCTCAGTCACTTTCAATGGGCACCAAGAAAAAGGTCTTGGTTCTTGGAACTGGTTATGTATCTGAGCCTGTATTGGAATACCTGTCGAGAGATGACAATATAGAAATAACAGTAGGTAAATAAGCCCTAATTTATAAGGAAGAAGAAGAAAAACTGATTTCAGAGCATGTTTACACTGTGATCTTTAGATGATTATCTTGTTTATAAACTTTGAGAAATCATTTTTAGAGATATTAAAATGAGGTTTACTCTCTGTCAAGTGGAAGGAAATCTAAAAATTGTACTTTTTAATTCTTGAAATAGGCTCTGACCTGAAGAATCAAATTGAGCAGTTAGGCAAGAAATATAAAATTAATTCTGTCATCATGGACATTGGTAAACAAGAGAAGGAGTTGGGCTCCTTGGTGGCAATGCAGGATCTCGTCATTAGGTAAGTATCTAGCAAGAAATGATTGCCATATGTTTTGCTGTTGTCATTATTATTCTCTCCTTGTTTTGTCTTTCTCCTTGCCTCCCTTCTCCTCTAAGTGCTTTTAAATTGAAGTGTGCATCCAGAAAAGTGCACACATCGTAAGTGTATAATTCAGTGAATTTTCACCAAGTGAACCATCATCCAGCACACAGTAGCACCCAGAAGCCCTCCTTGTGCCCCTTTGCATTATTACCCCATCCACAAACGGGAATCCTGGCTTCTAGGGATTAGTTTTTGATCATTTTCAACTTCGTACAGTTGGAGTCACTCAGTATGTCCTCACTCGTGGCTGTCTTCTTTCATTCAACATTGTGGCTGTGAGAGTTGCTTGTGTGGTTGGCTGTGATTGTCGATTACTCATCCCCACCGCTGGGTACTATTCCAGTGTATGAATGTACCACTATCATCCACTTGACTGTTGATGGATGTTTAGGTTGTTTCTGAATTTGGCTATTATGATTCTGCTGCTATAAACATTTCAGTATTTGTCTTTTGGTTACCACATGCTGACATTTCTGTTGGGTATCTACCTAGAGGTGGAATTGTTGGGTCATGAGATATTCATGTTTCATATATTTTGGTAAATCTTTTATCCTTTGGACTTATAAAGCTTAAATGAAAATAAATAGCTTCTCTAGACTCATGACCATTTTAGTCTTATCATAGGAATGGATCTTGAAATATAGTGTTTATTACTATAGTAAAAATGCAGATCTAACTTGTAGGTACAGAGCTACATGAGGATTAGTCTATAATTAAGTTTGGTTTTTAAATACCAAAATGATGAGAGTAGTATTTATTCTTAGAATATAATTTTTCCAAGATGTGAGAAAGAAAGTTACTTTTCTTTCATAATTAGATCACTTTACTACTTAGATCAGATTCAAATGCTATTTTTGGAGGAAGTTCTGTGATATCCCACTGGGAAAAAAAAAAGGATGTGGAATATAGACATAATGAATGGTAATTCCAAGTGGGAACTTCTGTATTTTCTGTTGATATATTTAAATTATAGGCTTATTTTGGGCACCTAAAATATTATTCAACTTATATAAAATGTGCGTTAAATTTTATTCAGCAAAGATTTATCAATGACCAGTAGATCCAGTCTGTCAGTGATACTATGAATATAGGTTCTGATTCAAAATCTAATGTTCTAGCCTACTGAATAAAACGAAGAGTTCTGTTTTTGTCACACATTGGTACTTAAGTAGAATATTGTTTTTTTGTTAAAAAATATGAAAATAGCACCATAGAACACATTTGGAACTAAATCTGAAGCAAGATATGACAAGATAATGGACAAAGACAATAATTTAATATGCACAAATTTTAAAATTTAGCAAACTGGTGGCCTTGAATAAGATTTAGCATTAGCTAAATCTGTTTCATAATTTTTCACAGTTCGTTTTCTATGTTGAATAGTGGTAAATGCCATTAAACATTAAATAATTAGTGTTATTTAATTAATAACTCCTTAGAGTTCCATAAATAATTTTTTTGTTTTTTAAGCCTGAGAAAGAATGTTTTGACAGAAATTTATTTTAAATGTTTTGATAGGGACTAACAAAGTAAAACAAGTAAAGAATATGTTTCACAACAAATTTTATATAAATATGCTGGATTCTTATGGTTTTAATTTGCAAGTTTAGATTTTAATGATTTAATGCAAAGTAGTAGTTGAGTTTCTAAGTTACTTTGAAAATCCTATTTGTATTTTGTGTATGTTTTTGTGGGTGGCATTTCTGAATTATTTGCATTCTAAATTATCTGAGTTGGATTGAAGTCAACTCACATAATTCAAGGGTTATGTCCCCTTGAGTAGTTACTATATTACATATACAGTGAATTGTGAACTCTAATCCCTTTGTTCAAAGTAGGCACCATCAATCAAAGTTCTATCATTCTAGTTCCTATCATATTATTAGGTTAGTGCAGATAAGGCCAATGTTTAAAAATATTATATCTTGATACAACTTTTATCAGTCAAGTTTGCAATGTGGGGAATGTGACACTTAAATTCCCACTTAACCTTCAAGATAGCATCATTGTACATTTTCTATTAATACTTTTCCTACAGAGTTTTACAGTATTTTGTTCATTAGTGTTTAAAGGGCTACCAAATTTAGTAACAATTTCTTTTTGTTAAAAAAGCTAAAAAACTGATCAACAGCCTTTATATTGGTACTAGCAAATATGTACACAATTTTATTCTATATGATAATAAATCTAATGGCAATACTCTATGCTATTAACCTAAGGAGGAATAAGTGCCTAAGAGATGGGTGGTTCTATGGTTTTGTTTTATGTAAAATAGAGAAAATCTGAAATACTGAATTTGGCAAGTACAGTGATATATTGTGGTAATGCTTCTAAATTTATATTTATAGTTTGTATTTACATAGGTTGCTTTACCAAATAAGCAATAAGCCAGTAGAACTTAAGTATTGTTATGCAATTGATAGGATGTTTTATCATTCCTTAGAATATGAATATACTCATTATGTCACCATTTATGGAAATTGATTTTTTTTGTGATTGTGTAGTCCTGGCACCAAATTAAAACATAGTCAGGTTTTTAGGAAACCCAATCAAAGTTGAGTTTTGAGTACAGTCATAATTTGCTCACCATCTAGACTTTTAGCCATTTCAATAGCCTTTACATCAATCAATACCATTAAAGTCTGTTTCTTCCCCCTGGCTCTTCCTAGACTCTACTCTTTAATGTAACATATGAGTTACCTTGACTTAGTTTAACTGCCTCCTGTTTGGGAGATATGAGGGTTAAAAGAATAGCAACCTTACGTTTTCGGGACCCAAGACAGAAAATTGTGGAAACATAAAGTTGAGTGGAATCAATTCTATTTAATGTTATAAAGAAATAACTGAATACATGCAGAGAAAGGAGATACGGCTTTAGGGGAATCTGAGAAAGCTTCCTGGAGGAGATATGTTCTCAGACATTTCTTTAAGGATGGTATGACCTGGATGGAAGTTGGTGAGTGGAGGGAGTATTCCAAGTGGAAGTCACAGTATGGGTAAAGTTTCAGAGCTGGGAAAGTAAAGGCTGTGAGTGGAGAATTACAATAGCTTCTGTGGTTCTCATATATGGTTTATGAAGGAGATCAAGGGAGAAAAATGGAAACGATTCATGAAGGTCATATTGTAGAGTTTTAAATGTGGTAACAGGATGGATTGATTCTTTAGTCCTCAAGGCCTCATTGGTCATCTCTGAGAAAATAATCGGAGGGTGTCCGAGCTTTTAGTACAGTTGAAGGTACGTTGGAAGGTAAGGTTTTATGTACAAGACGGTTTCTGATTGGTTTTTCCATTTTGAAGCTTGCTGCCGTATGTATTGCACCCTCTTGTGGCCAAGGCCTGCATCACAAGCAAAGTTAACATGATCACTGCAAGTTACATCACTCCAGCATTAAAAGAATTGCAAAAGAGGTAAGTTTCAGTCATTTTCAACAAAGTAGCTCCATGGCATTATTTTCATTTTATATCCAACCTTTCCTTCCTCCTCTTTCCATCTGTTCTAGTGTGGAAGATGCTGGCATCACAGTCATTGGTGAATTGGGGTTGGACCCTGGTCTCGATCATATGTTGGCAAAGGAAACAATAGATAAGGCCAGAGAAGTGGGAGCCACGGTGAGCCAGATTTACACCTAAAGGTCCACTTAGGGAAATGTGAAAAGGTCCGGATTTTTGTGTACAGATATAACCTTTCTGTAATTTTGATTGAAGAGGCTGCTATATTCTAACTTATACTTTGATGAGACATTTCAAATAAAATTCTGTAACTGCAGAAATAGCTGCTTGGTAAAATAATGCCCAAGTCTCAGTAATCGATTTGTAGAGAAATAGATGCTAGACAATGTTAACTTCATGAAAGATTTTAGACTGCCTTGGAGAGTCTATAATAAGCGTTGACTTTTAAAAGTCAGAAAAATTATTCGGAATATCATCATTCTGTTGGTATATGAAGTATCTTTTACATGTGAGAAGGAACTATTGGGTATGAAAATGTGTTGAATTAGACAAGATGTTTTTGGTTATATATGTAACATAAATGAATTCTAAATCTATATTCAATTCTATTTTATATTAATATTAAG